TTTTAAGCCCAAGATAAACTTGAGCAAGTCATGACGCAATTCAATTTATATTTCAACCCATTTTAACATTTTCAATTTTAACCTAACACGTCCATTTGATCCAAGAAGCAATAAGTTTGCAAATAATCATCTCTTGACAGGATGATTATTCTATACAATTTCCACAGCTATCATAGCCAAGCCAACTGAAGTGTCACCAAAAGTATGTTAAGTGGAATGACAAAAGAGAGGCAGCTCTGCTGTCAAGAAAGGTAGTTGGGGGATGAGAAGGTCACCAAACTACTACTAATACATCCCATCATTTTATCTCATTTTCCTAAAAAAATAATTTTCGCTCCGGAGTCCACATTGGAGCCAAGACTAAATTCGGATCACACATTACAAGATCCATTCGGGGATAGCGCTCCCAACAAGATTTTCTTCATACCAAAAGTTCGAACCCAAGACCTCTAGCTAAGTGTTAAACACTCTCTCCAGTGCACCACAATCCATGTCGATCTCATTTTCCTACTTAATTGTTGCATTATAATTAATATTCCAATTTCCAAATCCATATTAACCCTTAACTTACCCTTAAACTACCAAATAAATCTGTTCCTACATTTGTCATAAAACTTATCCAAAAATCCCCAATAAATAATAAGGCCCTTCCAAGCATCATTCTTGTGGTTTCCTTAACACCAAGAATCTTGCATTTATTATCTCAATTCACATTTTTCTCATTCTTGGTATAAATAATGCCAGTAATTCCATCAACTCAAAAATTAAACTGGGTCAGTCTTTTTGTAGTTCAAGGGACCATCCTTCTCTTTCTCTCTGTCTCCATTTCCAGCATATAATCAAAATCCCTTCACACTTTTCCACACTTTTTCATTACAGTATTTGATTCTTTATTCTTCAATGCTCTCTTTCTTTTTTCTATATACTGAGAGTAAGTAACTCTTTCCTTCCCTACAAGCAAAGTTGTTCACTTTTCTTGATTCTTTCATTTTATTGATTTTCTTGATTTTTGGGTTTGTGGGTTTCTGTGTTGCGTTTCGAGATCCGTTCTCTAAATGGGGTTTCTTCCAAGTAGTTTTACTAACTCTGTGGAGCCTCTTCACAGTTCATACCCTTTAAAGACTCAAGCTTTAGCCACTGATACTGATAACCATTGTGGAAATGAAGAGTTAAAAATCAAGTCTTTAATTTACAGAATGATTTGGGATTTTGGGTTGGCTTGTTTTGTTCCGACCCGTCGCCGGCGAGCTTCCGGCGAGGATAACGGTGAGAAGGATAAAGGTGTTAGCAGTTTGGAGCATAATAAGGCGTGGTTGCTTGCTGAGTCAGGAGCATGTGGTACTGAGTTGATTAATGCGGAGCCACATTCGGTTCATTCCTCTTTTAGGTTTAGTTTTTGTTCTCAGGTTGAGCTTGAGTCTATGAATGTTAATAGATGTTCTTCTGCTACTGTTTTGATGGTGAATTTGGATAATGGGTTAACTGATCCCCTGTCTAGAGAGCTAAAATGGAGGAAAATTCAATCACTTGAGAGGAGTATTTCTCCTGTGACTCATTCTTTAATTAGGTTTACCTATCCTGAGATTGCTTCTGCTACTCGTAATTTTTCTAAAGGTATTCAATTGTTTATATTCAATTACTTAACTTTTTTCACTTTCCCCTGTTTGAAAGAGAAACTCGTGTATGATGGTCTATTGGAAACAACCTCTCTACCTCCCAAGGTAGGGGCAAGGTTTGCGTATTTCTCGGACTCCACTTGTGGAATTACATTGGATATGTTGTTGTTGAAAGAGATATTCATGTGATGTTGATTTGCTTTTCTTGAATTTGTTAGGTAGAGTTTTGGGAAGAGGAGCATTGAGCTATGTTTTCAGAGGAAGAGTTGGATTTATGAGAACTACTGTTGCGATTAAGCGGTTAGATAGGGAAGACAAGGAGTCTCCAAAGGCATTTTGTAGGGAATTGATGATTGCTAGTTCTCTTCATAACCCATACATTGTTCCTCTGGTTGGTTTTTGTATTGATCCAGAGGAGGGTTTCTTTTTGGTATACAAGTATGTATCTGGTGGAAGTTTAGAGCGGTATTTACATGGTGAGAATACTTGGTTTCCTTTTGTTCTTAATAAGGTCATTTTTATTTTAGTTTACACAATTTCATTGGGACTAATTTAGATAGAATTTCATTCACAGATAAGAAGAAGAGGGGAGTGAAAGGCGGTCCAGTACTTCCATGGTCTACGCGGTACAAGGTGGCCGTAGGCATTGCTGATTCAATCAGGTACTTGCATTATGGCACTGAGAGGTGTGTTGTTCACAGGGACATCAAACCCTCCAACATTCTTCTCTCATCCAAAAAGATGCCCAAGGTAATGAAAGGAGCATTCATATTTAACAGCTCAAATTGGTTATTGTCATTATTTACGCATATCTGCTAGTGAACAGTTTGTTGTTTGATAGATTCTGTGTTTTAATCCTTTCCTTGATATATGCAGTTGTGTGACTTTGGTTTAGCTACATGGACTCCTGCACCTTCTGTACCTTTCCTTTGTAAAACAGTTAAAGGAACATTTGGGTATATTTTCTATCTTGACAACTCTTCTATAGGCATGGCTATGAATTAAAACCGTTGCTAGACCATAAAGAACATCCTTATATTTACAATCTTTGAATTACATATGCAGGTATTTAGCTCCTGAATATTTTCAGCATGGTAAAGTGTCGGATAAAACCGATGTTTATGCCTTTGGAGTTGTCCTCCTGGAGCTGCTCACTGGAAGGAAGCCAATTGAAGCAAAAAGAGGACCAGGAGAAGAGAACTTAGTGTTGTGGGTAGGTTCTTGCTATAATTTATGCCTAAGCTGTGATCATATCTCCTTTATTTGTGATAATTAAATCAGTTTTTGCGATTGGTAATTGTTAATGCAAGCGTACGTATTACTCGGCATAACCTTTGCCAAAGTTGCTGCATAATTATAAATTTCACCACTCAGAATTTTTTTGACATCACTAGTGATGTGTGAGTAAATTATTCAGGCCAGTGCATTTCCTTCCTTCCATTTGGTTTTAAATGGTCGCCTTCACCCTTGCTGATGTTTAGATCTTTATGTTCTAAATGGTCACTGCCACATAGGATCTTTGTTCCTTGTTGGTTGACTGTTTAAGGCCTCTCTGCATCAAAATTTGGCGACATTGGGACCTTTTGCTTATCCTTGTGCTCTTTTCAGGCAAAACCACTGCTGCAGCAAGGAGCTCTTGAAAAGTTTCTTGATCCAAGACTCAAATTCCCTCAAAAGAACCTACAACAAATAGCTCGGATGACTCAAGCAGCAGCTGCATGTATACACACTGAAGAGTCTCGAAGGTCCAACATGGATGAGATCATTGCCATATTGAGAGGCACAGAAGTTCGTTCCTTGACCAGAAAAAAGTCTATTTCCAGTAATAATTGTGTGATTGATCCACAATTGCAGCGGACAAAAAGTGAAATGAATAGTCACTTAGCATTGGCAATGTTAGGAGTACCTGACTTTGAAGATGATGATTTTTATTGTCGTTAATATAAAGACGATTAATTTGATTATTTTTTTTCTCCTTGTTCCTTTTCCCTCTCACTCCATTCTAAGATTCTAGGGTGACAACTGATAAGCTCTTTAACATGTATGTAGATAGAAAAGTGGTGATCTGATTGAAGAATAGGCTGTTTGTATATATTTGTCCCTGATTTTGGTGGGGAAATATGATAGTTTCTGTTTTGTGAGATAACATAAAGAAGTTTGTGAATTGTTTTCTGGCATGATCTTACTTCTTTCCTTGATATTGCAAGTTCAAAGTTCAAACTTTCTCTGGTTATCTAAATGCATCGTGTTTAGTTCTTTTTCTTCCCTTTTTTATTTTATTGGATAACCGTGGTGATCGCGCCAGTTACCTCAACCTATCTCCCCACCTGTGTAGGACATTGTTTTAGCTTACTTTATGTAAGCTAAAGATTTTTTTTGGTTTTTCAACCAGTGTCTAATATCCATTGGAGCTTGACTAAATCTGAATTTGTTCCGAGAAATTTGGGGTAACTAATAACCGTTGCCATGTTTCTCTCCGGTAACTAACTAATTAACTGTTGCCATATTTCTCAACTTTAATTTAATGTGAGCAGTTGATGACAAATACAGTAGGCCACCAAATTAATAGTAAATTCTGTTTGTTTAAAAGGTATGGGGACTTTCAAAAACTTTGTTGTTGAATACAACTCTTTTTGGATTTTAAAAATTTATAGGAAATTGACAACATATTCTCTTCGTGCCATTTTTTTTTCTATCTTTTTGGCCAAAATTTTTGGCCAGAATGATATTTTATCTATGTTATTTTACCTTTTTAAATATTTTTACCTTTTTAACTTTAATACTTTTAACTAAAAAATGAAAAAACATTAGTTTATTTTAAAATAAAAAAAATATTATAGTTTTTTTATTTTCTGGCCATTTAGCACTTTTCTTTTTTATCCTATTGGTGGTACGTTTAAGTTTTAACCTCTTTCTTTATTAACAAAGCTGAAGTTAATCAATCTGTTTCAGGTTAGGTATTTAAGAAAAGATAGGTTCAGAAATTAGTACACCAATAAACAAAAAATTGGTTACCTTGACATTATTTGAGATTGCTGATTATGATATAATGACAGCTAAAGCTCTCTCACATAGGACCCCAAATAATGAACTTATCTATTCATAATGCAAGGCAGACAAACTTGTAGTTCAATGTTGTTGAACCTAGTTGCCTAAATTTATAAATTTTATTTAAACCAAACAACTTAGAACCAACCAAATAATTTATAAACCAAAAAAAGAGATATTATACCTACAATCCACCTCAACAATAATGTAAGGAATAAGACGTTGCAGTTTAATTAAGTTTTTAATTTTTTTTGCAACGAAGAAAAGTAAAAAGAAGGAAAAACCAAGACACATTTGAAAGTGATACATATCAAAATTAGATGTTAGAGTCAGTGATTTCAGAATGAGTATGATTTTATTATATGTATACATTTTAAACATATTTTGCATACGTATACATAGTTCGAGCTGAAAGCAATGGATTCAGTTGAACCTACAAAACCCACCCTAAATCCGTTTCTAATGGTAAAGTTTGTGCATCAAGAAAGCTAGAATACTTTAGCAACATCCTTGATCAAACCTCTATTGGCTCGAGCAAATTCTTCGAATTCTTCAAAAGAAATGAAGCCATCCCCATCAGTGTCAAGTTCAGCCATCATATACTGGACTTCTTCAGAGGTTACAGAGCCTAGCATCTTCAAGGTCTCTCCAAGTTCTGCTGAAGAAATTTGCCCATCACCATTTAAATCAAAACGCTTGAAGACTAATTCGCGATCGGCTACGTCTTGTGGATCTTCAGCCATTCTTTGATTTCTTCTTTGCCTTTTTTTTGTTTTTTTTTTTTTATGGTTATAATGTAGGCAAAGTTGGTCTGAGTTTTTGTTTTTGGCAACTTAATTAGATCCGCAAAATGAGTTAGAATTTGGTTTATAAAGAGGTATTCTTATTAGTTTGTTTGGCCATCCTTAGCCTTAGGACACGGGCTTTGTGGAAAAAACTTCTTGAGGTTTCATGGTCTGGACAAAATTTTGCAACAACCAATCTGTTTACACTTTGTGGAAGAAAATAAATGTTGACTCCCAAAACAGACATTGACAACATTTTGACACCTTTCAAAATTGTGTGCAGTTGGGAAAAGGAAAAAATATGAAACTTATCCCTACATATTAGAGACAATTTTATGGGATACGTATTTTATTTGTATTTATAATTTCGGTATGTTCAAAAATGGAAAAACAATTTGGCATTGAGGTAGCCAAATTGATTCTTTTTTCATATTCAAATTGCCAATGCTAATCAAACGCTGTTGACAGACATAAACACTTCAAATTGAGAATGAGTGAATGTAACTGAATCAAACCAATGCATTAGCCACAACAATTGAACATTGATCTTGAATAAATACATGTGCTTAATAATGTGGGTTATGAACTACCACATATTTATCGGAAATTATTCTCGATTATTGGCTAATGTGGTTATACACGTGCTTAATATTTTTTTGCCCTAAAAGAATTATGCAAGAGTACACATGGAAATCTTTTTGCAAGTGCATTTAAATGACAACTGATTAATAGGCCGGATGGATATTATGCAACTGACTTGAGCAAGGCGTTCAACACTACTTCTTTTGTTGGCAAAGCTGGAATTGCTCCTCTCTCCATCACAGTCAATGCACCACAAGCATTAGCAAAACTAAGGGCATCTCGAAGCTTGCCCTCATCCTAAAGAATTCAGATTCAGAATTAGCATTAAAGAGATCTATGCTTTGAGTTGAAGTATAAAAGAAAGTTCAACACCAAATGGAAAGACAGGTTGAAGTTTGAGTGTACGGGAAAATGAATCTCGGGCTTAACTCAACCCCAAAAGCTAGCTCATGAGGGGAGGATTGCCCAAGTTCATTTAAGTATACCTCACATCTCATTAATCACCAATATGAGACTTTTCATTCTTACATTGAGAATTCAAATTAATTAGTTCAGCACTTTCAGTTTTTGTTTCAGAGGTAGCTACAGCAAGAGAACAAGGATGCGACAGTCTTAGTAGTGGTCTTAGCTTCATCAAAGAAGATGGTTGTTAAAATTGTGATTTTTCAGCTGCCTTATATCACTGGATTGCATATGTGAGTTTAATTATCTAGGGTATTAACTATAAGAGGTTTCAATGACACAGTAAAATATCGACACTACAAGTAAATCATATAGGTCCTTTAATGTACTTATACTGAAGATACACACCTAGTGCACAAACAATAAAAACAGTATCAATTTTTTTTTGCTCATTAGATAACATGACATGAGAAACCATATACACAATGAGAAATGTAAAGTAGTAGCCAACAGAATGCAGGATAATGGAACATTAAAACTACAGAACATAATTCGATTTAATACAAAAGGCATTAAGGCAATACCTGAAGCAGCGAGACATCAGATGCTAGCTGTGACAATATTCCGGCTACAAAAGCATCTCCAGCACCGGTGGTGTCCACGGCGTCCGCCTTTATACCCTTGACTCGTCCACTGAAATCCTATTTTTCATGATTGAAGCAACGTCAGAGAACTTTTTTCTCTTTACCTTTCATATATAGTGGTATCTGGCAGGGTATGCACACACCAGCTTGGTGACTGATCTTAGAAGTTTGAACTAAAGATGCATTAAATTCTAATATTCCTAAACTTATTCCAATAAGCCGACGAATCTGAACCAGCTTGAAGGAGACCGATAAAACTCAGACAACCTCTAATGAGCTTTTCAAGAAAATAGAAGAAACAGTAGTCATTCTGTTTCCTGATCATGATTCACAAAAGGAAACAGAATAAGGAATCTTCTGAAATAAACTTCAGAGTGCAAGGGATTATTATCAGTAATATTTTGACAGGTATAATAGCTATATTGATTCCAGATTAATAAAGCTTGCCAATCAACTCTAACATAGATAATCATATACTTGTTCAGCTAGGGATTGACTGGTTAAAAAGGCACAGCATCCATGCGTGCAAATCTCGATAACCCAATAGCAGATTGTATATTTAATAAATGTTGTAATAGTTTAAAAAGTTATGAAACAACCAGATGAATTTTACATCTGAAGATATAAGGAACAAATACAGAGATTTCTCAACTTCATGATAAAGAATTACAACATCATTTGCTTAAGCACATCAATTTGTGTAGAGTGGGATGCAGTAGCAATTACAATTTGACTAGAAGAACAAACAGGCATGCAGCAGAGTTGAATAATATTTATAACGCTGAGTTTTACCACATCTTAGAAGCTCACCTTGGTGTAATATCGGCAACCTTCTGGACCTTCTGTGACGAGGAGTAACTTGAGGTTTGGATGGTACAACTTACGAACAACATTATCATCATAAGGATCTTCTCCTTGTGTCAAAAACGAAATCTCTTCTTCACTTATCTGTTGATAACAAGCAGCTGAAACATCATAGGTAACATTTCATATGAAAGTTCAGACTTTACAGACCGACTCTCTTGCAAGATAGACTATATTTCCATTAACAAGTAGTAAGATTTTACATTGGACACTTGCAACAAAGTACCTTAATTATATCAGCAGTATCCCATATGCTAAGGATTCCTTCTCTAGCACTTTCTGCAGATGGCCACAATGGAAGCCTCAAATTGGGATCATAGGATAAGATCACACCAGCATCCTTCGCAGCTTTTGCAGCTGCAATATGGGCTGATTTGCATGGCTCTGTAATCAGACTTATGGAACCATAATGAAAAACTTTTGCCTGTCATAAGGGATAGGAATCATTGGGTATCACTATCTAAATATAATTTACTCGTAAGAGTCCACACCAAAAATAGCAGAAGAAATGTAAAGTATCATGATCAAACTGTTGCATTAAGGAAAACAACATTGTATAGAATTATTGTTAAAGTTTGGCGGACTACTAGAATAACATGCTTTCCAGAAAGCATATGAAATGCTCATACATTCTCAAATAAGATGGTCTTCAAAAATCTGAAGATTTGGATTGGAAGGTACTCTTAGAACCAAATCATGAACTGCATAAGGTTTTTAATATATTCAGTAGTCATATAAATAAGATAACTTACTCTTAGCAGAAGTAACAAAGAGGATGAATACAGGTCTTATGACTGGAGGTATCTCATGTAAGAACCATAGCCAATTTCAGTTTCATATTATGATCCTATATTTTGCTCTTCTCGTCCATCTTTATTCTTTTGCTATAATGAAACTATGAAATACTTATATCTCGAGGATAAAAGAACCTCATGTACCTTCCTGATCAACTCTAAATCAAGTTCATCCTCTTGAAGCAACATATCAGCACTCGGGTTACGATAGAACATAAATTCACGTTCTCCATCCTTTCTCAGTGTTACAAATGCTAAAGCAGTACGAGCACCTGGATCAAAGCGCATACCATCACTGTTGACGTTGTTCTCCTTCAAAATCTCAGCAAGCATGTAACCAAATTCGTCTTCACCAACCTGATTGGATTACAAGTTATAAGTACATACCATAAAATGCTTAAATATTTGAAAAGTCCTATCTTTTTGTAATTTATATCATCTTCACATATTCGTTTTGATGATCCATCTTCACGTATTCTTTTTGACAGGTTATTTTCATTCACATATGTTTTCTAATTAATTTTCACAACCCAGCAAAGGAATATTTGAACGAGCCAACTTTGTGCGGAATATGATTCTTCAACAGTCAATCAAATTATCAAAAACCTCCAGGGAAGAACAAAGATGACCCTGCTGCATATTAAGATGAGTCTCCTAATTTGAATGCAGTAGTTTGGAGTAGTGAGTCTCAAATGAGAGCAAAACTGTTCTTCATTAATGATATAGACTAAGATATATGATATCAGTATAGTAATTAGTATGCCAAAAAAATCGGTATTTGACAAGCGCATAACATTAGATGCTAGATCACCATGGTACAATTAATGATCTGGAGCAATTAATGTTTCCACAGCAAGTGTCAGATTTCTATTCAGATATAACAAAATTTCAACCATGCATTAAAGACTGATAGTTCCAACTAAGTGAATCATCTTGCAGCTTCTAAAGTTATTTCAGTAACCAGACACTGCCATATGTTTTGAATAGAGGGAACTAAACAACAACAACGAGTTGCCTCCTCCTACAGCCTGGAACTGGTCCTAATAGTCAAGGATAAGTAGCCCAACTTGAAGATCATACATGTACTTGACTGAAAAACTAACTGTCTAAACACTTGTTGAACTTGAATAAACTTATCTACTGTTATAGAGTCATTCAAACCTACGTTTAGCACATCGAGTTCATAAAGAAGGTAAAAAAAGTAGTTTGCAATATTATACCTTGCCAATGAAAGCTGATGAACCACCAAGACGGGAAATACCAACAGCAACATTAGCTGGTGCACCACCAGGAGCCTTTTTAAATGCAGGGGCTTCAGCCAATGAAAGCCCACTTATAGTCGGAACAAAATCAATGAGCATTTCTCCAAAGCACACAACAAGAGAAGATTCATCCTTCTCCAGTGGCCCATTGTCACTTGGCAATGCTCTTCCTTAAGTAAATATAGTTGAAGAAGAAAGTATAAATACAAAAACTTATGCAAACTAACTAAATTTTCTACAAACACATATAAATGATAAATCCAGTCTGAAAGTAGACTAAATTTAAAAGATGAACACCTTGAATTTTACATCGAGGAAAGCTGGGCGGACACTGGGAAGCTGCTTTGACAGTGCATCTTCTAGGAGCAGGAAAAACTGAGAGCAACGAGCTACTGGAAGCTTTACTTGAAGTAGAAACTCCAGTGAAGGAGAAAGCAGTAGCATGAAGA